GATGGAATCATTGATTTGACCTTGAATAATCATTTGAAAGTATATCATATGAAGATCACATTGATTTTTCCAAATGATACATCCTATTTTTCATTCACATATTCTTGTAGTTTATCTTGAGAGCTTTCCAAAACACTAATAATTTTGTTAAAACTTAATGATAATGTTAATTGAATAGTCTATTCCGTATAAAATTACGAAAAATGAATATTTTACAAGATATTTTATATCACTTTTGTATAGATAGAGCGGACTAAACTGACTCGGAAAGTCCTTTACTATTTTATAATTTTCGCAATGATTAACGAGACATTAATTATTAAAAATCGCTGAATATTGGTTTTCAACAAATTTTTACTCAAATATAATCAACTTTGCAGAAAAATAGTAAGAGACAAAAATTATTTATTTTTTTCTCATAGAATACTGAGAATTTTTCAGAATTTTTTAATATATTATATTTTTTCATATTGTAAAAATAAGAAAATGTAGTACTAAAAAATTGATAAAAATTCTGAAAAAATTCTTAGAGTTCTTTGAGAAGAAAATTAATGATTTTTATCTCTTGCAGTTTGTCTATAAAATTGATAGTATTTGAGTAAAAAATTATTCCAGACAATATTCAGCAATTAATATTTTGTTACTATTATAAAATGATAGAGGACTTTTCGACTCAATTTAATTCGTTCTAGCTACACAAAAGCGATTGGCAAAAACTTAGGGAAACATCCTGTGTGTGTGTGCGCATGCATGCGTGTGTGTGTGTGTGTGTGTGTGTGCGCGCGCGCGCGCGCGCGTGTGTGTGTGTGTGTATATACAGGGTATTCCCAAAAATTGGTATCAAATTTTAGAGGTATGTTAGTAACTCATTAAAACAAAAAGTTCTTAATAAATCTCTACTGTTTTTAATGAATCGTCTACTGAATCGTCTAATGAATCGTCTTCTTAATAAACAATATTCCGAAAATCTTTTATTTCTGAGTTATGAAGCATTTTCTTCTGTGAAAAATAGAAAATAAATTAAATCTACAATAAATGTTCAATGTGCCTTCTGCTCATGTCAATACATAATTTTGTTTCGTCATTGAAGGTCAAAGATTCTAGGTTATTTGTTGACAACAGTTTCCAAGTCTCTCAGTCAGTTCATTCATGAATATCCATATGTGAGACACTCCGGATATTCCTAGCTAATATGAGAGCATCTAAACAATTCAATATCTCAAAACATACTGGATGCGTTTGGGGAGACACTATTTGTGCTATGGACACAAACGCTACCAACGCTGTTTTTGGAGTCAATAACGCGATAGCATAACGCATTAGCAAGCTCCATGAACGATCCTAGCGTAGTGTTGGTAGCGTTTAACCAGAGAGATATATTCGTCGAAGTTAAATTAATGTAGGAGATTTTCAATCATCAACCAAACTTTTCCCTATAATTAAAATTTTTAAGATTTTATAAAATATATCTAACGTAAATTTTTTATTTTCTTGTAGTGAATAACGCAATCTCAATTGCAATCTCTAGCTTGCCACTAGACCAAAATGAACAATGTAAACTAGATCAAAAAATTAATAATTACATTAAGTAAATTAATTAGATAAAAGGAAGAACTCTTGAACATCCATGTTGATTTCAGAAGAAGAAGCATATCTATATCTAATAAGAACCTTAAGCACTTGCAGCAAAATACACTGCCGTGCTATACCGCAATAACTTTTTTCCGTACACGGGAATTAAAAATTGGTAGTAACAAGATACCTCTGACTTTCACATTTATAATGAAATCAAATACACAAGTTGAACTTCGCAGAAATTTTGAAAAGTTAAAGATGATACATAAGCAAGAATTATGTTCACTCTAACCTAGTGGCAAGCCATCAGCAGAGATTAAAATTGAGATTGCATTCATTATGATAAAATTTGAAATTCACACATTACGTACGTACATTTACTTTACGAAATTCTAAGAGAGAAAAGTTTGGTGCCACTCGAGAATAGAATTCCCTCAAATTAATCTAACTTTGATGAATGTTAAACACTACTAAACGCTACGCTAGAGTCGTTCACGGATCTATAAAAGCTAACGCTACCAATATACTTCGGAAGGAATAGCGTTGATAGTGCGCAGTTGTGATGTAACACGCTACCATTAATGATGTCATGATCGTGTTAGCGTTATTTGTAGCTCCGCAAATAATTTGTAGCGTTTGTGGTGTGAATAGCGTCTCCTCGAATGCATCCACTAGCGAATGAAATGTTAGAAATGATGATGCTATTGTTAAGATTATTCATACACATACTCACATACACACACATCGAAAAATTATATAATTATTATGTATAACATTTAAATTCTTTGTTCCTACTATGTAATATAATAAAAATATGTACAAAAAGTTCTTTATTTTTTCCTTAGTTTCCTATTATGAGATAGCACCTCATATTAAGAATCTTCTTCTGAATGATCAAAATCGGCACATTTGATAAAAAATTCACATACAATAAAGTATAGCTATTATCTGCTAACTTTTGATAATAAAGCTTAAATATATTTTCCATAAATTTAACATGAAGATAGAAATTCAGATTACAAATTAAATAAATTACAAGCCTTTAAAAAAAAGTACTTCGTAATAGGCAACTTTACCCTATATGTATATACATATACATATATATAAATCGTTTAAAGACAATAAATTTCTACGTAATTTTTTTCAAGTTGAATTTAAAAGAGCACTTCTTACATATATCTAAATATGTAGAAATGCACTATTAAATTAATATGATTTTTGTATGCCACGCGCGTGTCTATAAAACGCTTCAAATAATTTTATGAAATAAATATATTAACCAAGGACTTTCTCTCTTTAAAATGACAAAAACAAAATTAATCTGGGCTAATGAGAATCAGTGCGAGAGGAGGTGCGCAATAAAATTTTAACAAATAAATTTGTTACTCCATTTGATGTCTTCTTTGTTTAAAATCATTAAACGTTTCGATTCTCTTTGGAATCATCATCAATAATATTCTTAATCCATATAGATTTCGCGAACAGTCAAGGTAGAGTCACTCACAGATTGCCAAAACTGTAGTGTAATTTGTTTAAATTCATATACTTGAGATATTTAAAATCAATCAAAAAAGAAACGAGCAATTACGCACCAATCGCCAAATCTTCATCATGAAACTTTGGATGATATTAATATTCACAAATAATCACTTTTTAATACATTTTATGTGGATTTGATTCTGCACTTCGTCTAAGCCATCCGGAGTGACGAAGAGAGGTGTAATGTTTAAATTGACAAAGGTCGGGGGGATCGACGGAAAATAAGTCATAATAAATATAAAATATAAAGACAGTACATTCGTATTAAGCTGCTGATTTTATCATATATAATGTATGTATCATATTTAACATATATAATGTCAAGTCATAGATATAATAAATATAAGAACGAAAATTATTATAATAATTTAAAATATAATTTAATACAAGAATTAAAGAGTCAAAAGGAAGATCTAAAATAACGAGTTAAAATTTAACGCGCCACATTAACACTATGCGTAAAATTATATAATAAAATTATAATCATTTATTGTAATAATTACAAATGTAATTTAATGGATAAAAAAGAAAATCTAAAAAAAAATTTTAAACGCCGCGTTAATATTATGTATAAAATTACATAGTAAATTTATTATCAGTCTTGAAATATAAGGTATGTCAAATTATTTAACATAGATGCATAAGCATGATGTAATCCATATTTCAGAAAGCAAGTCTATTTTTTTATATACGCATACGTATATTTTCTCAGATATAAATCGCTTGTTTAACGTTTTTTTTGAGTCAAGTATTTTGACGTTCTCCCAATCAAATTCGATTGTATTCCAATCTGTGATCCGTGATAACAGATTGGCTATTTGTATTCCAATTTATGTGATTGCGATATTCTGTAATCCTAATACTTAGTCTCCTACTCGTTCGGTCTACGTAAGTTGTATCACAACTCAATTTTCTTACAACATTTTTGTTCGCATTCTATTCTACATAAAATGTATTAAAAAGTGATTATTTGTGAATATTAATATCATCCAAAGTTTCACGATGAGATTTGGCGATTGGTGTGGGTGAGTTACTCGTTATTTTTTTGGGTGATTTTGAATATCTCAAGTATACAAATTTAAACAGGTTACTACAGTTTTAGCAATCTGTGAGTGATTCTACCTTGACCGTTCACAAAATTTAATATGGATTAAAAAGATTGCTGATGATGATTCCAAAAAGAATTGAAACGTTCAATGATTTCTCAAGATTTTTAAATAAAGAAGACATCAACCCCATTAAATAAGGTAACAAATTTATTTGTTAAAATTTTATTGCGTACTTCCTCTCGCTGACTTTCATTAGTTCAGATTAATTTTGTTTTTGTTATTTATTTGGAATGTTATTTATATTTGTAATTAGATCATCCCTATAATGTGTAATGTGCTATTAAAACATGATATGTAAAATTCTAAATAAATGAATTCTTTTGTATGTGAAAAACTTATATTATATAAGATCCTGACAAATGATCTGTTTGATCCTATTGGAGTTTTAGTGACGTTCTCGGGAATCTTCCTTGTGAGTACTATGCCTACGTGATTCTTGACTGCTAGGTGTAACAGGTCTTCGTTTTGACCTTTTGAATTTAGCAATATCTTCGCCGAACACATCACCAGTTCGAAGAGCAGATATCAAGTCGTCGAATTCGCCTTTGTTATCATTTTGTTGTCCATTACTATTTACTTCATTCTTCTTATTTAAAGATATGCTATTTAATATACCCTCCCGCGAGTTCTTCCTCTCTATCGTTCTCTTTCGGAGCTGTAAGAAATTATAATGCAATATAATATTTACGTTTTATACAAGAGGGCTCCTTTTGTCTACAAATTGATTACCTACAAATCGATTTGCCTACAAATATTTAAATTATATAAAAAAATAATTTGTGTTTTTAAAGCAGAGAATAGGCAATCGAACTGTAGGTTTCTTCTTCTTAACTTAATGGCTCCCGCCTCCCGAAATTGTAAATGGAGATCGATATGCCAGATCATCGTCTTATGAGAGATACACAAAATAATCGATTTATAGGCAAATGATATTGTTGGCATAGATGTCTATATTAGTATTAGATCGCTAACTTTGACTAAAAATGACTTATAAATGGCCGGATATCCGATTGAGTTCATTCAATGGCCGCTCCAATTATTTTGCACATATATACACAACACACATCGTACACATATATGTATAACATAATTATATACTGTTGTTGTCATTAAATCAACTCAGAAGTTAACGATCTAGTATACTATCTATGGCTGTAGGTAATCAATTTTCTATAGGCAAATGGTTTCTTCCTTTATGTATTTATGAAGCAATATTGCTTACTTCCTGTTCTTGTTTTGCTCTACGTTCCTCTTCTTCGATTTTCTTTCTCATATTTTCTACATCTTGTCTTGCTTCAGCTAAGGCTTGTAAAAAGTTTTCAAAAATGCCAAAGAATTCATCTGGTTGAACACCAGCCGAATCTTCACCAAATAATCTCACTGCTCGATCAAACTGTTTTGGTAAAATTATATAGTTAGATAAATTATTTGTCACAGTCTCAACATTAACATTAATTGTTTATTCTTACTCTAGTTTTCATATCTTGAAATAAGTCTTCGGCCTCTGCTAATCTACATGTGGCTTGCGCCTGAAAATCTCTCATCGCTGGTAAAAACATGTCTCCTTGAAGCACTTGAGATTGACCTCGATGAAATTCTAAAAAATGAATGAAATTGAAATAAGATAAATGTTACAATAATAATTTATTTTTTCAATGCTAACAATAATCTAAAAGTATCTTTAAATACTTTTAGATAATCATTATTTTTACAGAAAAAGTATAGAAAATAAAAATTATCATAATTAATCGTTTTAAAATCATGAGTTTTTAAGTTAAACTTGCAGTTGCATTATTCAAATTTTTATTCAAGTTGCTTAAAATTCAATCATTATATAATCCGTTACCTATTTCTCTTTGAACATCTTGCAGTCCATTTTTCAAGTTGGCCACTTCTTTCTGCAAATCGGCCATACTAACTTTAGCAGCCGTTTTAACATGCGGCATGTCTTCTTCGATTTCTAGAACTTCTCTAAATCTGGCTTCGAGAATTTGTACAAGGTAATGTAGTAAAGTTGTTCCCTTGGAACAAGAAGATTTTGTGTCGACTAGACGATTCAAAGAAGCTAATCGGAAGCCACACGCGTTACCTCGCGCGTTTCCACGATTCACATAATTTCCCAATGCTAAAACTAATTCTAAAAGTTTTCTGAGTCTCCTTGATCTGGCTACTTGTCGGCTCGCTTCTAAAACTGCTCGCATCCTCGGTGTCAATTCCGCAATGCTAGCTGCAAATTTCTTTTTATAATGAAGAGAACGCAATCTCTGTTCGTAATGTGGCACTCTAAAAATAAAAGAGATCTTACGTTTTATTTGTTCTATGTTTTATTGATCTATTTTGTTCTTGCTTAAAGAAAGACTAAAATTTTGAAATAATTCGAAAATTAATTAACCGATGAAAACAGTTACATAATTTGAGAGAGAAGGAGGGAGAGGGGGAGAGGGGGAGAGAGAGAGAGAGAGAGAGAGAGAGAATCTAAGAGTTAAATAATGTTAGAAATACAACTAACTTTGATATTTGATATAAAAAACAATCCGCCCTGTTCTGCAATTCTTTTTGATGGATATCTAACAAGGCAGCTTCTTCTGAAGATGGTATGTACTTTAGCAACTGTTCCACCATATCGATGTGCAAAATATTCTGTTGATCCATCGATAATATTGTTCTAGTAATTTCATTATCAGACATTTTCAATTTTGACAATAATATAGTGCAATTCTGCGCTCTTCTCGAATCAATTACCGACATCGTCTTTTTATTCTTTCCTAATGTTCTCAAGTCCTCTATTGAGCCTTCTGTAGAAACGCCATTTTTTTGATAAGCGCAGAAGATCTTATCAATGGACTCGAGGTCCATTACATTATAGAGTTTCGAATCATCCAATTCTGACCATATCGTGCCTTGTAATTTCTGCTCAGGTATTTTGGACCAGTTAAACGATTTCAAAGGATTACTCGGCTGTGGAACATTCTTTATTATCTCCATCTAAGACATTTAATTTGAATTAAATTATCCGGCTAATTACTATATAACAAATTATATTGTTGTGATTGATTGTAACAAGTAGAAAGTTTTTTGTTTTTACTGTGTATACTACTGTTTTTTAAACTAATTATTAAACATTAAATTATTTTTTTATTGCTGTTACATAACAAATATTTAATTAATAAACTTTTAAATATATAGTAACAACCTTCATAGGCGGAGGAGCAGCCAGCATTAAACAAGGAGGTGGCGGAGGTGCTAATGGAGGAGGTGGTGGTGGTGGCGGAGTAAGTTTAGTCTCAATCTTCTCGAGTACTTCATCTTCCACAATTTTTAAAGTGGCTTTTGCATCGTCTGGCAAACTTCCTGAAGCTACTAATTGTTCTAGACGTTTCCTTTCTGATTTTTCGTTGTTAACTTGTCGCGACAATATCTCAAGGTTATCTTGCAATTCAGAAATTTTTTGTTTTGTCTCTATGTGCATCGATATCTCTTTTTCAAGACGTTCTTTGATTCTTGCTAAACTTGCTTCCATATCTTCCTATAAATAAATAATCATATATAATGATACTATTTGTTCTAAAAAGCAAATAATATCGAGCAATAAATGACAATTCAAAAAAAGTATGACATAAATTTATGACATATCAAAGATAATAAGAATAAAATATAAGGATAACGAATAACTTATTTTATTTTATTAAATAAATTTATAGAAAAAGAAAAGAAATGTTATTTATCATTTTTCATATTACTGATTAGACTTATATTAAAAATATATTCAGTATATCTAAAAAATACCTTTACATCTGAATAATACGTATATTTTTTTCATGTTTATATTATTATACATCGATCTTAATATTTTAAACGTATTTGAAAAGTTATGTATGATAGTTTTAGCAAATATGTAAATTAAACTAAGAAAATAAAATTCTTTTTGTACATAGACTGTATATAGTATGTCTATGAGTACTTTTTATAAATAAAAATTTGCCATTATGCAGATTATCATAAAAGATTCGTTAATTGCTATTGGCAAAAATATGGAATTTGGATAATACTTTTTCTTGAGTTCTCAAATCTAGTTCTTGCTCCTTTTTAGCCAATTTTGTAGACATGTCCAAATTTTCGCGTTCCATCTCCTCAGCCTTTTTCCTTGCTGCCACAAGTTCCTCCTCTTTGGCGAGAAGATGAACAATTTCTTTCACGTTTATATCTATTGGAGCCACATCGGAATTTTTTACTAACCCCGTCTCGTTGCTTTCAGACTGTAAAACAATTTGCTGAACGATTCGATCAAATAACAACCAATGTTGGGGATGCGAACCGTAATCCACTGAAAAAAATTAATTTGCATTATAGAATGTTTTTGCTAAAAGTAAGATCTATCAATCCAAAACTCACGTGGCAATAAAAGACAATGTTCTAGTAAGCTGAGAAGATGAGGATAAGCAGCAGTATGACTGAGTTTCCGTCGCAAAAGATCGAACATGGCGCTAGCACTTTTAGTATCTACATGTTCCTTTTCAAACTTCCTGGCGAGCTCTTTCTCATCTTCATTTCGTACCATTTCAAAAAAATCGAGATGCCTATCGAGTGTCTCATTTTCGTATTTTCTTAATTTTTCGATAATAGGTTGGATGCCGAGCATCAGTAGCTCATATCGTAAGTGCAACCTAAATTCCAATGTTACTTGGCCAGGTCCATAATTTAGCACCGCGTTAATGAATGACATAATCGCTGTTTTCAAGGATAAATTATCTTTATAGATGCCGAAATTTTTGTCAAGATCATTAATTATACATTGGAAGCGCGTTCTTTCGGAATGATATTGTTGGAAGTGCAACATGGCTTCTAAAACTTTGCGGTGACCGCCTGGCACTAGACAAACTGCACCGAGAATTTCTAGGACAGAAATTTTCGTTTTTATATTCTCAGATGCGAGTGATTGTGATATTGTGTTGATTGCCGTCGGATGCGCTAATACATGCGCTCTACCATTCTAGAAAGAAAAAAATATTAATTAAAATTAAAAGAAAAAAAACTGTGATGCAAGGTTTTTCTTATTAGAGGCATCATTGAACAATGATTCACGTTCTCAACTCTCATGCAAGTATGAAAAAATTAGGTAAGCTGCTTATTAAATAAAAATAAATAGTTATTAATAAAGATTTTTATGGATAATGCTTACCTATATTGATAAAACTCACCGAATTATTCATTAAAGCCTTTAAACATCCTATAATACTGGTGTTGATATTACTATTAGCTGCTTCGGTATCCATAGTCTCTAGAACTTGTAATAAAGCATTTAAACCATCTAGTTCTATAAATCTGAGAACAAAGCTATGCGGCTGCGTCCTCAGGGCAGTCTTTAGAGCTTCTGCTTGACGCATTTGATTTGATACCTCTTCATCTTCTTCTGGGAAAGGATTCTGTATAGTATCCAATAGGTTTGTCACATTTATATATATGATAAAATCAATAAAAATACAACAATATTTTACAATTCAATTTTTTATAACTTTTTTCCAGCAAAAATTATTAAGCCTCAGTAGTCATATTATAAATATACGCAATGACATGACAAAAACTCTGAAAATTGTGAAGCAACTTATAAAGTATAGCTATTGTACAAGTTTTAAACTTTCTTACGAATTGTTCACAATCTTTTAATTTTGATTCTTATATCTTATCTTTCTCATGGCATCTTTTAATTTCAATAAGAAAATTTTCAAGGCAAAGTGATTACAATTTGAAGTAAACCATGTTAATAACATTTTTTCATGATACCATTCACGTAAAAATTATTTGATTAAGAAAAAATGTATATTTTGTGTTGTATATTTCTTTATATTATAGAAAGACATCTCCATGCGAATAAATATTTTTAAAAACTCATCTAATACAAAAACCTATTTGATCGGAATCTGTTTAAAGTAATACTTTACATACAAAGAAATAAAATGATTTATTCTATCATTCTATCATAGTAGATTCCATTAAACATTTTTATTTACTCACATTCGCTATCGTCTTCAATCTATTGATATAATCTTCGGGATCGCCGCTAAGGTCAGTAGTGCGCAAGCCTCCATTATCTAATGTATCATTACCTTTCCTGGAGCAATATATTTGCCACTTTTTATTAGCTGGAAGTGCCAAAACTGCTTGCCGATTGGTTTGAGTTAAGTCTAACTCGTCGACAAGCTCGAGAAACATTTTATTCAGTTCCTCCTCTGCTGGCATTGGCAAGGTTGGTGTCATTGCTTGTAGTGTGAGCGTACCCGTGTGTTCCACAACGCAATATGTGATTTCCGGTGGCTCGTCATCCTGCGAGGAGCATCTAGATTAGTTCAGTATTCTGTCATGCATTACAGATTATGCAAATAATATATTACATCAATAAATATAAAAAAGATACAAAAATAATAATTTTCTTGCTTTAATCCTATATATGTCGAGTTATTAATGAATTTTCTAATATTTTTTACTTTCTATTCCGTGTACGGAACATATGTACTATGAATAATTGTATTACTTGTATGTGCCATAAATTCAATATCAATTTAAATAAGTCAATGTTTGCATTACACATACATAGAAGAAAATATTTAAAGATGTTTAAAAATTTAATACAATATAAAGGCTAATATAAAATTATTGCAAATACGTTTTTGCAGATTTAGCTATTAAATAAAAAATATTTATAATAGTTGTATGTATACGCATGTGGAGTTTTGGGGAAACAAGTAGAGCTTTGTGATAATCAATAATCAATAATGCAATCGGCTGACAATCATTGGCATAATTTTTTGCACTAAACTTCATGTTCAATCAATAAAACTTTCTAGTCTTTTACATGTTTGTTCATTGATATGTTGAATAATTTAACCACAGACTTATATAAATAGAATAATAAATCGTGACAAATATTGTTGTTATTGTAATTTATTAATTATATAAATAGATTATTGACTCAATGTAATAGAAAGAGATAAATCTGATTTCCTTGTTGCCCTTGTTTTAGTTTCCATATGCATCCTGTTTGTGAATATCGCGTGAATTTATATAAAAACACTAATGTTATCATTCGTATAATTTATCTATGCGAGAGTCAGTGAACACAAATATGGCGCTGTTCAGCTATTTTCAAACATGGAGGCAAAGTCGGCAGACTATTTATAGAAGTCTGTGAATTTAACAAAATTTCTTACGAAAACAAGAAAGAATTTGAAAAAATATTATCAACAATATCCGTATATACTTTGTATATAGAGACATATGAAATTTATGCAGTCAAGAATAGAAAGTTTGAAATTCATAGACACACATGTGTCTATGTGTGTTTTAATTCATTTCTTAGTTATAACATAAATTATTATTCTGTAATAATAAGTAAAAAAATGCTATTATGATAAAATTTATAGACTAAAGCCGAAATGTAAGCTGTGTGTTTGTTGATATGATCGATAAACTCTTCTTTGACGAAACTTTAATGTAATTTTAAGATTTGGAACATAAAAATTCCATCTTTCAAAAAAATATGTTGAAATATTAACATTTTTCTGTGCATACTAAAATTTTTCAAGGATAAAAAAATATTACGAATATATAGTGCAAACTTATATACTCGATTATTTCAATTTATGATAATCAAAACAGTTTAGAAGAAATCATATTCTGATGTCAAAGTCGATCAACAATAGAATGATAATGATAATAGAAATATATATACATACATATAAGGTGCTTCAAAATTCGCTCCTGCAAGATGTCATACTTATGCTAAAAGAAATAATTTTTTTACTTTTGCAAAATTGTGTCTGATAAGTAGTTTTTGCAAGAGAACAGGTTGAAGTTAATAAATAAGGACTCTGATCTATGTGGCGTTCAGAACCAGCGCACGTTCCTCACTTGGACCTAATTAGCTAGTATTCATAAGTATATTCATAAGTAATATTTTAAAATACTAATATGGCTTTGTTATGATTAGTTTATGACTGCTTATACTACTATACGCAATTGTGTAATATTTAAAAGAATAGAACTTTTAATAAAGTTCATCAAGCATATTATTTACATTTGTTTTTACTTTCAGATAGACCTGATAGACCTACGTAATTAGACAATTCTTTTATCCATTTACTTATTATTACGTAAAAAATGAAAGCAATAATTTATTTTGCTATCTTTTTATTTTTGAAGCAATACAATATAAAAGATCATGGTCAAGTAATTAATTCTTATAACTTAAATACAAACTTAAATAGTTATAAACTAATTATAACACAAAGCCATATTAATATTTTACTTATGAATACTAGTCAAGGATTAGGTACAAGTAAACAAGGAGCCCTAAGCGCCAGATCAGAGCTTATTCGTTAACTTCAATCTGTTTTCCTGTAAAAACTATTTGTCAGGCGCAATTTTGCAAAAGAAAACAATAGTTTCTTTTAGTATGAAATATGACGTCTTGTACTTCGTAGTGTATTTTATTCGTGCATATTTTGAAACACTCTGTATACAAGATTTTAAATAATGCATTACGATTTCTCGAAAACTATGATATGGAAAAATATGAAATAATAATAATGATACCTTCTTTTGTTCCCCTCCGAACCATACAACTGTTTAAAACTGTTTTTTCGTATCTACCATAGTTTTCGAGAAATCTTAATGAATTATTTAAAATGAAACAGCCTGTATTTATATACATGTGTATACATATACACATACATATATATATATATATATATATATATATATATATATATATATATAGAGAGAATAT